TAAACTTCCAAAATGTATTGAATTCATTACAAGTAAATATAAATGCTTTTTACAATTAACATAAATGTAGTAGTATAAAATAGTGTGCGTTTATATTATATTAATAACAATTTAAAATCACAATATCTAATTATCTAATTGTACAGTTGATAGCACTTTTATTATGAGCTGGACTGTTGACATTTCAAAACTATTTAAAAAAATAAATTTATCCGGGCTAACAATCTTTTTCATAATAGTTCATGCTTCAACTCATTAATTCATTTCTAATTATAAGCCGTGTTGTTAATCTTTCTAATCTATTAATAATAGAATGTCCGGGTTAATAACATTTTTTATAATTAAAAAAGACTTTCAAATTTGAATATCACGATAATAAATAATATTATTATGCAGCCATGTTATTGACGACTGCATTAAAAATTCTCATATTTATGCAGTTACGTCATTTTGATATATATTTATTATGAATGTTTACATATTCGAATTGAAGCTAGAACTAGTTTTTTTTTAAAAAAAATACAAGCGTTAATTTTTACATTTTTTTCAATTCCATTTCGATAACACTATATAGCGATAGTTATTGTGCAAGTTATAAAAAATATGCACGTGGGCAGTGTTGTACACGGACATTGTCCCGCCGAATTTTCAGGGACGTGGACAGTCCGGGACATGTCCGCCGGGTAAAACCAATCAAATTGCGGAATTATACGAATTTTATTGGTTGATGCTCACGTGTTGAGTCGCCAAATGTCCGGGACAAAAAAAATTCTGGGAGGACATGTCCCGGACTATCCGCCGTCCGTGTCCGTGTCCCATGACAACACTGCACGTGGGTGTTGACAGCAAGTGATTTGCGCCAATCACTTGCTGTCATTCAACACCCACGTGCATATTTTTTATAACTTGCACAATAACTATATAGTATTACGCAATAGTGATATTTTATTAGAAAATTGATCTCCGATAATAGATCAAGTAAAATATTAATATGCAGTATCACGGGCGAACAATTAGTAAACGGGGAATATTTATAATTTAATTGATCCTAACTAAACTTAAACTCTTATTCAGAAATATCAAATTTAATTGGAGTAGAACCGACTAAATAACAAAAGGTACATTTATTATTCTTATACATAATTTAATATATAAATATAAAAATAAATTACCTTCTTTAATCGCATTTGAAATTGATTTTGTGCTGATAGGTTTGCTGGTGTACATATGATCCGGATGACTTGGTGAGTTTATTGGTAATGTTTTAATAACTTTATCAGCATCTAAGAATTGTTTTCTAATTTCATTTTTATCTTTAAGCCAATTTTCGATTTTATAATAAACATCCCATGCACTAGGTCGTTTTTGTGGATCGGAATGCATACATTTCTTAGCCAATTCAACATAGCATTCGGGAGTTCCAGGAGCAAACTCGGGTCGTTCTCCTTTGATAATCTTTAAAGCAAGTTTAAGATCAAATTTCTGCCCATCAAAAGGCCTCTTTCCAGTTGACATTTCAGCCATAATAACACCAAAGCTATAAATATCAGCTGCTTGTGTAAATGGTTGTTCTCTTGATAAAACTTCGGGAGCAACATAAGGCATAACACCATAAATTTCATCATTTAATTTTTGTTCGTCTTTCTTTTTTGATAATCCAAGATCAGCAACGCAAGATTGAATATTCTTTTCACTGTGTTGATTTTGTAAAATATTACCGCTGTGAAAGTCAGCATGAACGTATCCAGCAGAATGAATTATACATAAATCATATGAAATCTCTTTAAGTTGATTTAATTTAATTTCCCATTTAAGTTCTCCAAAATTTGATTTTAAAAAATCATGAAGATTTCCTTTATCAGCATATTGTAACACTATCAAGTACTCATTGGTTTCTGTATTTTGCGTCAATCCATATATTTTAAGTCCATATATTTTAAGTTTACCACCCCAATGTATACACTGCACATGGTTTTTAAACTTGGTAATGTAATGAATGAATGAATTAATTAATTAATTAGTTCAATAAACCAACCAACTGTTTTAGATAAATTATACAAATGACGAATTAACTTACTTCTTTCAAAAAATCAAAATTATTTTCCTTTGTACTAGATAAGGTCTTGAGTGCAACAGTACTGGATGATTCACGTGATCTATTTTTATCACGATCAATTTTTTTTATGCCATCCAACCAAGTTGCAGAATATACAGAGCTAAATCCACCTTTGCCAATTTCTTTAACATCAGACAATCTATCAAATGGAATCCATTCGATTGCATCTTCGTATTTCTCGGCTCTAAGTTGAAATTCTCTGATACAATCATCAACATCTTTGTTTCTACTTGTCCATCCATGTGCAGTGATGTCAGGATCACATGTCAGGCACCACGCTGGTTGAGTGTTATTTTCTTTACAAATTTCACATTTGCCAAATCAGAATTCCTTTGTAATAATATAATTATTATTATTATTTATTTTAAAATCTATTGTAACTTTGAAAATTATACTCACCGACTAAATTAATGAATGAATGAATGAAATGATAATTAATTGTAAATAAGTATTTAGTTTATTAATAAGTATTTATTTATGTTTATGTTTTTAATTCCACTGATTAACCTTAACAAATCTTCTTTATACTCACATACTATTTGAAAGTAAATAATTATAAATAGGTATTTATTTATGTTTATATTTTTAATTCTACCAATTAATATTAATAAATCTTACTTGCTATTTGAAGAGTAAATAATTGTAAATAAATATTTAGTTTATCAATAAGTATTTATAATATTTATGTTTATGTCTTTAATTCCACTGATTAAAGTTAATAAATCATCTTTTACTCACAAACTATTTGAATAATTAATTGTAATTAAGTATTTAGTATATCAATATATATTTATTTATGTTCATGTTTTTAACTCCACTGATTAACATTAATAAATCTTCTTTATACTCACACACTAAATTAATGAATGAATGAAATTATAATTAATTGTAAATAAGTATTTAGTTTATCAATAAGTATTTATTTATGTTCATGTTTTTAATTCCACTGACAAATCTTCTTTATACGCACCGACTAATTAATGAATGAATAAAATAATAATAATTAATTATAAATAAGTATTTAGTTTATCAATAAGTATTTATTTATGTCCATGTTTTTAATTCTACTGATAAATCTTCTTTATACTCACCAACTAATTAATGAATGAATGAAATAATAATTAATTATAAATAAGCATTTATTTATGTTCATGTTTTTAATTCCACTGATTAACGTTAATAAACCATCCATCTTTATACTCACAGACTAATTAATGAATGAATAAAATAATAATTAATTGTAAATAAGTACGTATTTGGTTTATCAATAAGGTACGTATTTGGTTTATCAATAAGTATTTATTTATGTTCATGTTTTTAATTCCACTGATTAAAGTTAATAAATCACCTTTATACTCACGGGCTAAATTGACAATTAACACAAACAGATAAAAATATTATAAACTTGAATTGCAGATTTCAATATGTATTAATAATTTCTTATTACTTACTCCCTGATAATTAAAATTGTATAAGTGATGTTTAAAATATATAAAAAACAATTAAGAATTAACTTACTTATTAATCCATTCATAATATTTATCCTTATTTTTTTTCACGCCAATTCCATCATAGTAACAAATGGCAGTTTTAAAGATTCCGTTAGAATTGCCCATTTCAGCTGATTTTAAGTAATGCTCAAATGCTTTGTGTTTATCTATTTTAACTCCTATCCCATGATAATAACAAAAGCCAACTTGAAATATTCCATTAGAATTATTCAGTTCTGCTGATTTTTGATAGTGTGCTAATGCCCAATACAAATTCTTTTCAATGCCAATTCCATGTTCATAACAATAACCAAGCATAAATATTCCCTTAGAATCTTTCTTATCTGCCAATTTTTCATAATCAGTAAAACTCAAATGATCTAATTTGCTAGTAATTTCTTCTGACATTTTTTCTATATAAAAATGATACGAAAAAAAAATATGTTGAAAATATTAGAAAGAAATATTTGTTTTTTTTATTTAAATTGTGTCATCATGCTGAATGCAGAGTACGTAACAGTAATACTTTATTTTACAGTTGTACAACTAGTTATGCAGGGTTTTTTGGTTCATAATATAGTTGCAGATGAAACTAATTTTAAGTTTCACCAAGTTTCACCATGAAGTTTCTCATTGGCTGTTCTATTTAGTTTCACCTGTTTCACCTGCAACTCTAGTTCATAACGATAATTTTGAATTTTGATAATTCTTAAAAATCCGAATAAGATTTGTTAAGAAAAATGAACAAGTAATTAAAATATAAACTTTTATTTTATTTTAGAATCCAAATACAAAACTTAGTCATCATTTAATTTGATTCATTGAGTATGAAATATGAAATAGCTGGCCAATATGCCTCGGAAGAAAATCTATTTTTAAGCCCTTTATATAAAAAATACCATTTTGATTGTTCTCCTGTGTTTATAAAGGGTGTGAAAGGTTTTTTTCCTTACTAGGATTCTAAAAATTATTTCATTAGTATGTAATAATTATTAATAAAACCAACTCATTTATAATGTTTACCAATAATTGATCAATGCTAGGTAAGGAATCTTCAGTCAAATCTGAAGGTATTGAAAATACATTCGCTCTTCCAACATCAGGATCCTTTTAATTATATAATGCAGATAATACAATAATTGTTAAAATTCATTAGTTTTCTTTTGACAAATGTAAACGGTATATAAATAGTTAAAATACAGTAGCAATTAAAAAATTTTATAGCTCTCATTGTTAGAAAAAAAACCATATTACAATTGGGACTTATATAAATATCTATCAAATAGTACTAGAAGCCCAAGACAATAAGCAAAACGGGTCTTATTGATTAATAGTTTTTAATTATGATATTAGAAATTAGTTTTTACTTGATTCATATTAGTATGATTGTATTGCTAGCTCATTTGAATATCCTCCATTTCATCACATTCATTACATTTATCTTCCACTGTTAATTCATTTACTATATTACTAGTATTTTCTTGAACATTATTGGTGACTAATGATTAGTCCTAAAATTTTTAAGCTTTAAATATTTATATGTAACTTAATAAACCAGAATACTTAAATTTCATAGTTACCACTTCGTTAATACTTTGCAGAGAACTATCCTCAGTCAAGTTTGAGGAAACTTGTTCATTATTAACCTTTTAGTTAATATAATTGTTTAATTAATCAGTATTATTATTATGTTTGGTTGATTAGGGTTCATATACCTTATTAAATCGTTTATTTTTCCTAACTTTCTTTCTAGCTTTAAATGTCGTATTTATTTTGAACTGTTTCCTTTCGGAAGATTTACTTGTTTCTTTTGCCTCAAGCAATGAAGTTAAAGCTGCATCAAAATTCCGCTCATCATTTGCTTCATCAGAGTTAGAATATTCATCTGAAAGAGAGTCAGCACATTGTATCGATTCCTTTTGAATTTTAATTATTAAGAATATTTTCAATTATAATAGAAAAAAATGAATTTAGTGATCTCAAATCATAGAAAACTGTTCTAAGAATTTCAAACATTAGTGATATTCGAAGTTTTAATGCATACTTTTTTTTCTTTGAGGCTTGAAGGTATGGATATGGGATCGCTAGAATCATCTGCTTCAACATCAAAACTAGAACTTTGTGCGCCTTCTTGAATGGCTACTTCTGTTGATGAATTACTAGGTTTCTTTATAAGATTTTTGCCTTGTTAGTTTCTATATATGACATAAACTTAAAATATAATTGAAATTACCTCATCGTCATCGATCACAACTTCCTTTTCATTCTGTTCGATAACTTTTAAAATCTTTATGAAGTTTTTACTAGTAATGAGTATAAAATTTTTATGATTAAATTTGTTTTCTATTCATGCAAATTATTCATACATGATACAGTAGTAATTTTAATTAATTGTAATATATCTAAATTTTTTAATTTTGTAACTTCATAAAAAGTGTTTCTTCAAATTTGACAAAAGGTAGTTAACTACAAGTAATATAAATTTAAGTAACATTTATTTATAGATTTAATGTATCATTATATTGATATAAATAAATATATTAAACACGTGCAAAAATTTTTTTGGCTTTGATTTTTTTAAAACCGTTGTCTAGTATCCAAATTAGACAATTCTTAAATTAGGAAATATATAAATACGGTCAGACCTAGGTCAGACCCTTAACTGCAATCCCCTAAGTGTACGTTGTGAGAGGAAAAAATCGTTCAGGTCGAGGTCGAAGCAGTTCGGGTCGATCTAACCCAAATTGGTTGAAATCTGCCAAAACTACCGCTACCGCTACCATATCTGCCAGAAATAGCAGATATAGCAGATCTGCCAGATATAGCAGATTTGCCAGAAATAGCGATAGCAGAAATAGCAGTTATGGTCGTAACGGTAGAAAAATACGTAGTAAATTAGTATGGTAAAAAATGTATTTAAATGCAAATATTTCTCAGAAAATAAAGGATAACTCCCTTGAGTTGGAAGTTCCAAGTTAAAGAAATTAGAGTAGTTAACTTGTGATCCCCCCTCCGATAATTAAAATCTGTAATAACGATTGGAAATCGTGACCAAATCCCGTGATTCTGTATAAAGAAACTCGTGACGTAGTCTAGAGCTCAAATTGACTCTATTCTCGGACCAAATCAATCCACGCCTCAATCTAAGCCTGCCAAATAGGGTGTAGAGTAAAGATATTATTAAATTTAGTAGTAGTTGTGTTGGATTTTAGTATAGTAGTGACCCTGGTTAGCTTAGTTTTTTGTTGTCATACCGATTTTCCCTGCCACAACGTTCTTTAAAAAGCTTCCCTAAATGTATGTCTTCGTTTGGGTCCAACTAATAATATGCCTATAGATTTTTACCTCCCTAAATGCAATACCTCTTTAGGTGCACGTGTTGCTAAATTTTAACATAATGGTCCCGCAGCATTGCATTAAGAGAGGTCCGACTGTATCATTATATTTTTATTTTAAACCAAACAGTAGATAATTGTTTGATGAAGTTTAATTATCTTTTTAATAAATTCTTTTTTTGAAATAGCTTTATTGCTTGATTTAATTTAAATTTTTATTTTCATTGGTATGTAGTACTGTAAATAATTTTTATATTAATCAACTATATATTCTCTAATGTAGAAAAAATATATTGACTAATTGTAAAACACCAGAGAAAGGTATAGATAAGGCAATATAAAAAACTAGAACTTATTTCATTTTTAAATAGTTGATTAGTATTGATCAATCATAGAATTGTAGTACTGTACAACACTCATAGGTCAGGATCCAAGTAACGGATGGATTGTAACACATCAATAATAATCAATACTAAGTATTACTAAATATTACTAAGTAAAGTTACTATTTCCTGCATGAAGATGTCTTATGACAAGATCATGGCTCCATCAAGCAAAGCCCGAAGAAATATTCCTCGGGCGCCATTAACATCTCTGTCTATTTTTATGCCACAACTCTTGCATTTATATGTTTCTGATCCTCTAATATTCTGAATATTTCCACACCAACTACATGTCTTTGACGTGTAAGCTTCATTTTGAATTACCACATGAGTTCCTTTCATTTCTGCTTTTGAAATCAATCGTTGTCGAAATTTGTAATGCGACCAACAAAGCATCTTTCTAACTGTTTTCTTTGTTATTTTTCATGATTTCCTGTTCACCATGTCTGAAACCTCAAAAGGGGGGATAATGATCATGTCAACTCATCTGTTAAAAACTTGATTGTTTTTCGATGGAGTTCGTCCTGAAGTCTTCATTTGTTTTACGTATATACATAAGTTTACAATCACAATCTATTTTTTGCAATGGCTATTTGTTATGCTTTCTCTTTTTTTCAAAGTGAAACGGGCGTAAGTCACGTTTTCCGCTTTCTAATTTGTTGGATTTGCATCGTTTTGATAATAAAGTTGAAGGATTATGAAGATAAGTAGTATAAAAATGATTCCAGTCTTTCTTTGAAAAGTTTTGCGTACGAATAGTCATTATCTGTCGTAAATCTCTCTTAGATTTAAATGATAATGATGATTTTTTAGTTTCTTTTGAATTTTTTTGTATTATATTTTTTCTAGCTATTAATGCTTTATCAATACTCTTGTCGATCACATTTGCAGGTACTTTATCATGTAAACCTTTAAGACGTAATTCTAACTATACAACTGTTCGTAGAAATTTACGTTCTCCCCATACACATGATCTCTGTAATTTTTTATCTTTATCATTAAGATCTTTTCCTTCTTTTACATCTATGTATAATTTAAGTTTTTCATTGAGTGTATGAGGTTTTATCCATTCAAAATTTTTAGAACTGTTATAAAAATGGCGATTTTTGTTCCATCTAACAACAGTATTATAAGCGTATCTCATCAATCCAAGCCATCTCTTCAAGATCTTCTTCTGAGAATGATTCAGATACGTTTTGATTGATAACGTTCGATTCACAAACATTTCTCCTTTTTGTTTTTTTTTGGCTTCATGTTTTTATTATTTTTTTTCGTTTTCGATTCTCTTCAGCACATAACAATTGTTCTTCCTTATATTCAACAGATGAATTTGTTGATTGCAAGGATATCTTATGATAATTGTTGTTTGTTGGAACTTGACTTGTTGAAGAAAACCACGAATTTTTTAAGGTATAATGAGAACATAAATTCAATGAGGTCAAATGTGAATCTGTAAAGTCGGTCACGGTGGGTAACCACAATTTCTGAGACCATTCTTTTACTTGTTCGTTCCAGTAAGGTCTTAAGTCCGTTTCTTTTGAAGTTGATACCTGACCAGACATAATTGACGAGCCCATAATTCGGAAATCTGGATTTAAGGATCTGTTTCTGTCTTTCATGGTCTTCTTTCTGTTTGCTACTTGAGACACGTGTATATAGGAAACCTTTATTTTCAGTAACGGAGGTGGTTGAGGTATCATTTTGAGTAATCAACTCTGGTAAAAAAGAAGAAATATCATAGAGACGAGTCCCGGATGGAGACGTTATCACAGATATTTTTCCCTGTCTTAACCAACGTCTCAAAGTATCAGATGAAACCCCAAATTTCTTATGAGCAGATAAATACATAAGAAACATTCTGATTCTAAATACCATTATTTATAAGGATTTTGATTTTTGTTTATTAACATTAATATTAAGACCTAACGTTAATAAATTTGTTTCTTTTATCAATCTAATCTAATATGATAACGATACTAAGTTTTACTAAGCAATTTATTATTGTCCGGAGCGTAGCGACACTTACATATCTAGTTTGTATAGGTCTGCTGGTTCAAGAGTTATTGCTACCGCTAATAAAAAATTTTAATGTTTTCTATCATTCATCAGTTTAGCTTTTTTATTTAATATAAATACATAATCCTTAGAAAATAAAAAACATTATTATTTATTGATAAGCATTACTAATTAAAAATTTTATTTTAAGGAAAACTTTCAATATATGAATAATTTGCATGAATAGAAACCAAGCAAATTTTTGAAACAAATCTTTAAAAGCTCTTTTCTAATTCTTTTAAACTTTCATCGGATAGCTTATAATAGTCGCCAAGTGCAACCCAGCAATTCTAAAAGATTAGTATGAATTCATAATAATAATTGCTAGTTTTCACTTGGATTGTTGTAATTTTTTCTCAAGTACTATTATAAGAAATTTCAGCGCGGTTTACAGATGAAGGAAATTTTTGGTAGATTTCAATACATCATATGATTCTCATTTTCATTGTTGCTTTGAAAATAATGCGATCAGATACTGTTAAACCTTTTATTGTTGTTATTTTTATTGTTTCTTGTTTTTATTAACGCGGATGATCCAAAAAAATTTAAACTTGTAGTTCTTTTTACAAGTTATTCAATAGTATTTAGTTATATAATAGAATTCAATTATAATTTTTTGTTGTCAAAAAGATCATAAGGTCATAAAAATCATATAATTCATATAGGCCTTTTAAAATTATCGGAGATATAGAGGTGAGAACTATAAACTATTAATTATAAATAAACTAACCCTAAACGTTGACCTAAAAAACAACCAAAGAACGACGAAAAAGCTGGCAAAAAAATAACCAAAAAAGTGAGAAATTGAGTTTTACATCACAGCCTGCTGTGTTTAATTTGCCTATTTTATGTTATAAGGCTCATTAATAATTCAAGATTTAATGATTCAAAATTCAATGATTCAAAATCTAAGTTAGCTAGCTTTCCGGAAGACTGACCACCATTGATCAGTGTAAGGGGATTTTCTATATTTTCCGTTGACAGCATTCCCATTAGCACAGAATCAACTAATTTTTCAGTTGACTTCTCACCATCTATCATTTCAGAAGGACTTTCTAATTTTTTTGTTGTGTGTTCTTCATATGTTATTGCAGAAGGATTTTCAAATTTTTCTGTTGACTCCTCTGCATACATAGAAGGATTTTCTAAATT